ACCCAGACAGAACCCCCAGCTGTGACCAATCCTCTTGCTGCTGGCCCTGCGGATACAGTGAGAACTAGTGGCGTGAACACAGCTGACTCAGAGCTAAGTCATCATCACAGCCACCCTCATACCCCACGCTGGGGGTAGCGAGGAACACCATCTCCACACACAAAGCACAGTACATAGCTTTTCGGATCCAGGCCCAGGCCCCGAGGTCACCAGCTTTCTTCCTCAAAGAACAGGAACCAGATACTCCTCCCTGCTCGGCCATCATGCTCAGCCGAAGGCCCAGGGACTTCAAAGAGTGTGGAGCTGGGCTGAGGATTTAGCTCAGTGGTGCCACCGCCTGCCTCGCAAACACAAAGTCCTGAGTTCGATCCCCGGTATTAAAAAAAAAAAAAGGAGTGGGGACTTTATGAGCAGATGGCTTTGGGTTCCAGCCCCAGCTTTCCTACTTAGAAGCTGTGTGATCTTAGGGAAGTCATTTGACTTCTCCCAGCCTCACTGTTCTCACAGCTAGGAGGCGGACAACATCTCAAACCTGTTGATAAGATTAGCAACCCCTAGTTCTCTTCTGTTATAACTCTTCTTCATTCAGTGAATCTTATATGTACCCATGGCTTTAATTTAAACAAATTTTTTATGAGGATGGAATTCACATGCGGTAGAATTAACACATTGTAGTGTACAGTTCTATGTGTTTTGGCAAATGTATAGTCATTTAACCACAACTATATTCTAGAAATAGAACAGCTCCATGACTTCTTCAGATCCACACCCTGCCCTAATCTTTTTCAGGCAACCCACTCCATCTCTGCCCCACACAACCACTGATCTGGTTTCTATCTTTGAAGATTAGTCTTACTTGTTCTAGAGTGGCATATACATTGGATCACACATATATGCTCTTCTGTATCTGGCTTTCTGAAAAGTGCTGGTATAAGACATGGCTGCTAAAGGTAGAAGGATTAAGACCAAAGAAATAAGCAAAGTACAATTCCCTGGGATTTACAAACTGAATGGTACCTTGGGTAACATAACAGCAGGTGGATCCCCACATTCCAAGGCGGGAAGAAGGGGCCAATATGCTAAGCTAGACAAAGGTAGGCTGTGGCCAACGGGAAGGTACCTGGCTGTTCTCAAAAACTATCAATATCTTTGGAAGCTGAGGCAGGAGCATTGCAAGTTTGAGGCTACCCTGAGCAACTTAGCAAGATTTTGTCTCAAAATAAAAAATAAAAAGGGCTGGGGATGTGGCTCAGTTGGATTCAATACCAAGAATTGTAAAATAAATAATAAATAAACAAGGCCAACATCTGTTAAGAAACAGTCCCAGTGTCAGTGGCAGGCACAACATGCTCAGCTGCCTGTCTGGCTTCTTTTGTGCCCCTCCAAGTTACATGTGCCTATGGTTTGTTTCTTTTTGTTGAGGGTAGTGGTCTGTCATATGAATATACCACAATTTGTTCATCTATTCCTAACTGGTGTGCATTTGAATGGTTTGGGAGTCAAAATAAATCCATCTCCAAAGGATATAATTTTGCAAGTTTTGTGTGGACAAATGCTTTTTTTTTTTTCCTTTGCAATACCAGGGATTGAACTCAGGACCTTGTACTTGCAAGGCAGGTGAGGCACCACTGAGCTAAATCCCCAGGACCTACAAATGCTTTTACTTCTCTTGGGTAAATATGTAGGAGTGCAATGGCTAGGTTTTATGATAAGTATACATTTAGCTTTTGAAGAAACTGCCTTTCTGTTTTCCAAAGTGGTTGTACCCATCCATCGATGAGGCAGCGGATCTCTGTTCTGCATCTTGGCCAATACATAGTATTGTCAGTCTTTGCAGTGTTAGCCATTCTAGTGTGAAATGGTATCTCTCTGTAGTTCTAATTTGCATTTCTGTAATGCTAATGAAGTTGAGGACTTATGTACTTATTGGCCATTTGGATAATCTGTTTTGTGAAGTGCCTGTTTAAGCCTTTTGCATGATTGCAATTTTTATTAGCAAGTTTATTTCTTCCATCCAAAAGTCCCTGAACACACACACCGATGACTTTTTTTTTTGGTAGCACCGGGGATGAACTTAGGGCATCCCACTGTAAGCACTCCACCACTGAGCTACTTCCCCAGCCCCTTGTTACTTACTTATTTTGTGGTGCTAGGGACTGAACCCAGGGGACTCTGCCACTAAGCTACTTTCCCAATCCTTTTTTTAAAATTTAATTTAATTTAATTTTATTTTATTTTGAGGCAAGGTGTCACTAAATTGTTTAGGCCTCCTTAGTAGCTGAACTGGCAGGTGTGCTCTTCCACACGCAGCTACCAATGGCATTCTTGGTACTGCTAGTTGGGTGTGTCAAAGGGGCCACACTGTGCCTACAGGTAAGCTCCTGATCTTCTTCCTCGCATTCCTGCCCCAACTGTTGGCACCTCACCTCCGGCACAGACGTGTTTGGTGCGGACCAGCAACTATGGTCACTTCTGATATTCTTCTTCCAATCTATCACTTTCTTTCCTACCTACCTCTTGAACCCACTCAATTTCTCCATCTTACCATACCCTAATCCACCACCGTCTTTCACCTGGATTACCACAAGAGACTTCGTTCTAAATAGTCTTGTTCCCTTCAGGCTGTTCTACATGTAATAATCAGTGTTAGGCCTTCCAAAAACAAAGATTTGATTGCATTACTCTTCTATTTAAATCTTCAATGATTTGCCATGACTTGTAGGATAAAGATTGATTCCTTGATGTGAATTGTAAGACTAGTCCATGCCCAAGCCAGATGGTTTTCTTTTAGTTGTAATCCCAGGTGTTCCCCTGTCTCAGGGCCTTTGCATGTGCTGTCCCCTCCATTTGGAACACTCCTTGCCTTTTCTTTACCTCACTACCACCTACTTATTCTTCACATTTCAGTTTGAATAGTCCTTCCTTAGGGAAATTTCTGACCCTGAGACTAAATTAGGTATTAGCACTATTTTCCTTAGAGAACCCTGTAATTTTCTTCCATAGGACTAATCATCTTATAATATATATCTTATATATAATATTAATATGTTTCTTATATTATCTTATATATATTTCTAGGATTATTCAACTAAAGAATGTTATCTCTAGTCTAGTAAGTTCTATAAATGAAAAGGTTCGCCAGGGATTTGGCTCAGTGGTTCTGCCGCCTGCCTCGCAAGCTATCCCTGGTACCAAAAAAAAAAAAAATTAAAAGGAAGAGGTTCTTCTGTTCATCATATGGCTAGGTTACCTAACAACCTAGACAGCTATATAACTTCTGAGGCCTAGGGCCCAGTGCAAGTGAAAATCCAGTGCCCCCGCTCAATGTGTATCAAAAGTGCTGAAATATTCAGCTGTTTTCTTCCTTCCGTGTCCTCTCTCTCTCTCTCTCTCTCTCTCTCTCCCCCCTTGCCATGGTACATTTATTTGCTATTTTTCATCCAATGCTAAAAATAAATTGAAGGAGCTGTAGCTTACTCTCTCTTCCCATTTCCCTCCACCTCATTGCTTCAGTTCAGATATACCTGGAGATGCTATGGGCCCAGCTCCAGACCACTGGAATGACAAGGCAGTAGAGCAACTTACACACATTCTTTGTTTTCTCAGTGCTTATAAAAGCTGTGTTTACACCATATTGTAGTTCAGTGTGCAATAGTGTGAATCCTAAATATTCCCCAAAGGCCTGTGTATTGAAATATTGGTCCCTAGCCTGTGGCAGGATTGGAAGGTGATGGGACATTTGGGAGGGAGGAAGGAAGGACTAAGTTAGGAGAAAGTTAAACCCTCGGAAGCATCCCTTCAAAGAGAATATTGGGACCCCAAGCCCTTTTCTGTCTCTTTTTGCTTTCTCGTCTCCATGATGTTCCCACTGTGAGACCTAACTAACTCCATTTTAAAGTTTGACTCCATCTTAAATATAAGACAGTAAAGTGGCCTTGACATAAATTCCACTTCACTGAGTCTCCTTTGTGCCCATACATCCCCAAACCTTGCGGTAGCCACAATAAAAACCCTGCCGATTTGGAATTCGGGGCTCTCAATCCTGATCCACTGCGTCGGTGACGGTTGAGTGCCCCTGCTTGAGCTTGAATAAATGACCCTCGTGTGTTTACATCGGAAACGGCTCCTTGGTGGTCTTTGGGGACTTCGCGATCTGGGCACAACACCACCATGTGTTCCCATCATGATGTACTATGCTGCCACAGGCCCAAAACAACAAAGCCAAGTAACCATGGACTGAAACCACTGAAATGGTGAGGCAAAAAAACCCTTTCTTCCAGGCATTTTGTCACAATGACAGAAAGCACACACACACACACAAACACACCACTATATTAAAAAGCAACATACATACCTTAATGTAAAAACACTGCTTAAAAATGCTGATCTGTTGGGAAAATGGTGCCCACAGAGCTTTTAATGCAGGTTTGCCACAAACCTTCAATTTGTAAAAAACACAATATCCATGAAGTGCAAAAAACACAGAGGCACGATAAAAAGAGGTATACCTGTAAAAGTAGCTGGTTAATATGGGGAATTAACTCCAGCAAGAAACGACAGTAACTTTGGTAAGGATTTTGTATGGAACAGGGGAAGGGGACATTACCAGAACCTCTGCAGTGAGTTCTGGTCTCCTGCGAGCCACGACAGCACACAGCGAATTACAGAAAAGGTAGACAAATGAGACTGAGAAGAAGCTGAGCTTTGGGTCTGATCAGTGCTGCTTTCTCTGGGCAGCAAAGACCAAAGCCCCCAGCCCACCACACCTTTTATTCATTACCTCGTAACAAATGATTTGCAGAGAATTCAGTACATCTGGAGAAACAAATGCAACAAATGACTTACAGAGAGTTCAATAGTTCACATTGGGATAAACAAGGTGTAACAAAAAGCTTGCAGAGAGTTCAATACATCTTGGGTAAACAAGATGTTAACAGTCCAAGAACAATGAGGAACTGAGAAGATGTTTGTTCTCCCAGGATGTTTCTTGCCCTGGAGAATCACAGCACCACTGGATCACCAAAGTCTCAGCTGTGACCGGAGGCCAACCGGAGTCATTCTGTAGCTGGGCTGTAGGCAAGAGAACCAGGTCAACCAAATAACTTTTCCCTAGATATATGTAACATTGCTCCCAACAGGATTTCCTTCTATCTCTTCACCTCAGTATAAGTGTTCTTTAACACAAGGAGGTACTTCCAGAAAGAAAAGACCATGTTTCTTCAGATTCCATTGCCTGTTTTTGGTGCACACTGCAAGTTTTGGTTTGCATGGGACGCGTGGCCACACAGTTCTGTCAGGGTCCCTGCTCACTCTGCTGTGGAGTTAATGGTCTTACCTTGTACTCTTCATGCAGACTTAACCCAACTCCTGCCCCGTGTGGGTTCCCCAGAACCCCAACCTCGTGGGACATGGAGGAGGTCATATGTGAGTGAGTGACAGGAATGGTGGTCACTCCAATTTCTACTTGCATTGCCTCTGTTATGTGCACTCTCTACTGTTCTGCTGGACTTCATTTACAAAACACAACTGTAAAGGTCAAATTGCTTTTTTTGAACTGTAGTTTTTTGGTAGTTGTACCAGTCTGAACTCAATGTCTTTGAGATAGTGTTGTCCTGAGTTGTCCAGGCTAGGTTTGAACTTGGAATCCTCCTGCATCAGCCTCCCACAAGAGTGTACCGCTATGCTTATTTTTCAACTTTGGACGAACTTTTATAACTGAATTTCGACTGACTCCAAATCAAAATATTAAGGTAAATTATAAAAAATTTAAAATACATTATGATTTTAATAGCTAGACTTTTACAACATTTTTCTGATTAAAGAAATTTTGAATATACAAAGGTAGACAAGGGATTTATTTCTGGTCTTTTTTTTCTAAGCATAGATTTTTTTTGTTTGTTTGTTTTGTTTTGGGGGTTTTTGTTTTCTTTTTTTGGTACCGGGGATCGAACTCGGGTCCTTGCACTTGTGAGGCAGGCAGCGGAACCACTGAGCTAAATCCCCGGCCCAGCATAGATTTTTTTTAGAGGAGAGGATTAGAGCTATTGAATGATTCTTCATATTCAATTTTATATTCTTTTTTTCACTTAACCTAATAAGATAATACTCTATCTAGGATTTTTCCAGAGTAATGAGGAATTTCATAAACAATTATTATTAGTGTATAGGAGATAAAATTATTAATAATTTCAAGACAGTGACAGTAGAGTATTAAACCCAGTGTGGGGATATTCCGTGTAAAAGACCCTGTGCAAGTCCCATCCTCACGATGGAGACTCTGCCAAACACCCTGCCAGAGTCCATTAGATAAATGAACGAAAGGTTGTCCCATGACATAAGATCAACAGTTCATTTAGTTTGGAGGAAAGCTCAAGGCCTCCCGCCTCCACCTTGGAGCTCAAGGCCCTCCACCACATTGGAACACCCACAGACACTTCAGAGGAGCACCACTGCCTCCCGGGGGAGAGGCCCTAACATTTCAGAGCAGCGTGGGAGACGGGGCGGTGAGGTGTGGAGGAGAGGCAGCTCAGTCTCCCTGTTCACTTACTCGTTGCACTTTGCACAGGCCGAAGATAACACACTGTACCCTGCACTCCTAAGATGGGGCCTCAGTGTGAATTAGGTTTCACAGCTCACTGTCTTCATCCATCTCCACCCTGCTCCCACAGGGAGCTGGAGCTCCATTTCATTAGCACACGACCTCTGTGACGCCCCCAGGAGGGAGTGGGCCAGAGTAGCTCCGCCATGTCAGCCCCTCTGGCCGCTGGGAGTGCTCAAGTTCCCCGGCCTGGCCTTGCCTCCTAGGCTGCAGCTCAGCCCATGCAGAAAGTTCCCTGAGAATCACAAAAACCAACACTTAGGGTGTCTGTGCTCAAGATCAGGGTTCACCACACATGCTACTGTGTGACTTTAGGCAACTGCTGTCCCTTCTCTGAGTCTCATTTTCTGCTGTCAAATGAAAAAATGAACTAAATAAGTGGCCTAAAAGCAAGGTTTCCCAGAACCTCCGAAGTCTCAGGAATCCAGCCATTAGGGATAATAACAATAGGTGTTTAGGACACGTGTACAGAGTGCTCTCTGCTCCAGGTGGCGCTTACATGCTGTGACTATATGGCTTGTCCAGTAGTCCCCATATTCCTATGAGGTGAGTTCCACATGTGCTCATTTTCAGAAGAGGGAACATGTGCAAAATGGTTCAGTGACTTACTCACAGTCACACACCTAGTGAATGACAGAGCAGGAATTGGAACCCTTGTGGTGTGATTCTAGAGCACATTCACTTAACCATGCTATTTCCATTTTATTCACATAGCCATCTCTCTTGTCACCCATCAACCCGTCCATCCATCCATTCATCCATTCAGCTGAGATTCAGATTAGAGTTTATTTGATAAAGAGATTCTTCTGAGAGAATTATAAAAAAAAATGATAAGATTTGAATGCTACTCACCTTTGCCATTCAGACTTCAGAGGCGGTGGGGGTAGGTTGCTGTGACTGCTTTCTCCCTCCCGGGTCGTTCTGAGAGCAATTTCTGTGGGTGGGGTGGAGGAAGCGTTGGTGGCAATCAGAAGAAGAGTATATTTTAAAACAACTTGTCAAGGTGACAACCACAGCTTATGTGTGGAGACAGATGCTAGATGGAAAGCTCAGACAGTGGGAATCTGGGTCTTTCTTCCCTCCCTCTGTCTTCCCTTTTCTTTTCTTCCTGGAAAGGCACAGCTAGAGGGGATTTACAGATTGGCTTCTATGATGAGGTTTCAGGGCTGAACTGGAACTGGTGGGTGACAGATAAAGGAAGGTTGATCACAGCCTAAGGTAAGAAAAGCCTTTCTGACGTTTTGTCATCCTACAGCTGGAGAATCACCCTGTGAGGCAGGCACCTGCTTGTCCTGGGATGTTCGGGGTGGAGGCTGCTTATCACAGGCGGAAGGGTGTCCTAGAGAAGGCGAGCTCCCCACTCTTGCCTTCTCCTCCTCAAGCCTGTGATTCCACCCAACTCCACCATGGGACCCCTAAGGCCCAGAGAAGGGCAGGCCTTGGTTCCAGCTCATGCAACTAGCATGGACAGAAAGGTCAGGTCAGAGTGACGACCAGGATTCTCTGAGCTCCACCCACAGCTTCATCAGGTATGCTCAGTGTCATACCACGGGGCAGCCCTTCTAGCCAGGATGAAAGGAAAACACTGCTTCTCACTGTAGGGCTGCTGGCTTGTTCTATATGGCTGGAATGGAAGCTTTTAATCTTCTCTAGATTCAACTCAGGCCACTTATTGGACCTGAATGGGATGCAGTGGGGCAGTCTATTCTCACCTTCATCTGGGCTTGACTGTTCTGTTTGGATCTGGGCTTACTTCCCAAACCATTTGTTTACCACTTTCTTGTCCATACAGAACATTCCCAGATGTGAGCTTGGAGGTACCAACACTGACCCATTTCCCAGATGAGGATAGGGACGCTCAGAGAGGAAGAAAGGTACCGCCCAGGTGCCATGACCAGGGCATAAACTCGGGCTTTGACACCAAGGAAATCTTCACTGCTCTTATGAAACATGAAGGACTATTACTCATCTACTATGGTACCTACAGCAACCCCATGATACCAATTTTACAGGAGAGAAGACTGGGATTCACAGAAGCTGAAAAACTTTTCCAAGGTCACACTGCTGGGAAGGCACAGAGCAAGAGTTCAAACCCACATCTGCTTTTTCCAAAATCCAATTATTTCCCATAATTCTGTTCCACTACTAAATCCACACAAGCCCTAAGGAACTGATACCCTGTGGTGGAGGAGGGTGGTGGGTCCTGCTGAAGACACAGAGCCTAGTGTGTGCAGGGGGCCTAGACCCAGGCAGGACTGGCCAACCCCCCAAGAGGGCTTCTCTGGTCCACAGCATGGTTGCAGCATGGTGAGCGTCAGAGGCTCTCTCTGAGGCCCATGCTGCAAGTTATGTCCCTCCACTGACACTGGTTACATGAGACTGGGAAACCTTGGCCCCTGGGCTGTACTTGAGAAAAGTTCCAGCTGAGAACTATGGGTATCTGGTCTAAATAGGGTTTCTGGCCCTGCTGTTTACTAGCTTCAGACAAGTTCCTTTATGTCTGTGTACCTCTGTTCCTTTCTCTGTAAACTGGCATTAGTAAAAATACTATATAGTCCTTTGTATGTTGTATGACATCATCCCTCCACTGTCCCTGGTCACATGCCCCATGTGAGACATGACCAGGACCTTCCCAGGTGTATGCCCTGGGTCAGACATTACTCTAAGAAGTTCAGCAGTTTGACCTCATGTGGTCACATACACAATTTTAGAGTCATTGTCACCCATCTCCATGGTCTCTGTGCCAGTAGCTTTCAAGAACTGTAATGAGTACCTGAGACAATCAGATGACAAAGAAGAAAGGTTTGTTTGGGTTCAGTTTCAGAGGTTTCAGTCCACGGTTGGTTGGTTGTTTTGGGCCTGTGGTGAGGCAGCTCATGATGGCAAGAGCATGAGGTGGAGGAGGCTGCTCAACTCATGGCTGCCAGAAAGCGCAGAGAAAGAGAAGGGATCAGGGTGCCAATACCCCAGTCAAGGGCAGACCTCCAGGGACTGAGCTTCTTCCCTCCAGGCTCCAGCTCCTAAAGGGTTCACCACTTCCCAATAAAGCCACCAGTTGTGGACAGAGACTTCAATACATGGGCTTTGGGGGAACATTCAAGGTCCAAACATTCTCCACATCAGATGTCCTAATGTACTATGCAGATAAAAGGGCATAGGGGCTTAGGATAAAATACTTGGTTTCCAGTCATAGTTCCACCTTTATTGGCTGTGTAACTTCAAAAAAGTCACTCATAATGGGAAATTGAAAGCAATGAATCATCAAAAAGATCATACATCATCCCAGAGATGAAAAGATGATTCAACCTATGCAGTCAATAAATGTAATACATTACATAAACAGAAGCAAGGACAAAAATCACACGATCATCTCAATAGAGGCAGAAAAAGTCTTTGACAAAATCCAGTGTCCTTCCATGATAAAAACACTGAAGAAATACATATAGAAAGGCCTTATCTCAATTTGATAAAAGCCATTTATGATCAACCTACTGCCAACATCATATTAAATGGGGAAAAACTAAAAGCTTTTCCTCCAAAATTAGGAACAAGACAAGGATGCCCACTATTACCACTTCCATTCAACACAGTACTCGAAACATTAGCAAGAAAAAGAAATAAAAGAGATATGGATAGGACAGGAAGAAGTTAAATTATCATTATTTGCCGATGACATGATCCTCTACATAGAAGACCCTAAAAATCCATTAAAAGGCTCTTAGAATAAATAACCAAATTCAGTAATGTAGCAGGATAAAAAACACAAAATCAGTAACATTCCTATACACTAAAAATGAACCCACTGAAAAAGTAATTAGGAAAAAATATCATCCACAATAGCACCCCAAAAAATCAAATACTTAGGAATTAACTAAGAAAGTACAAGTCCTCTACAATGAAAACTACAGCATTACAAAAAAGGAAATTGAAAAGGACATCAGAAAATGGAAAGATATGCCCTGTTCCTCTATAGGCAGAACAAATACAGTCAAGATAGCCATACTTCCAAAATTGATATATGGATTTAATATAATCCCAATAAAAATTCCAACAGGATTCTTCACAGAACTGGATAAAGCAATCCTAAAAGTCATACGGTTCCAGAAGAGACCCAGAAAAAGCAGTCCTGGTTAAAAAGAGCAAACCAAGGGGGATCACAATCCAGGACTTGAAGTTATACTGGAAAGTTACAGTGATAAAAACAGCATTGTACTGACACAAAAAGAGACATGAGTATCAATGGAACAGAAGAGAGGATACAGAAGCAACCTCAAATACATTCAACTACTGTATTTGATCTTTGACAAGGGGCCAAAAACATACAGTGGAGGAAATAGAGAGTCTTTAATAAATGGTGCTGAGAAAACTGGCTATACACATGCAGGAGATTGATATCTCTCACCATGAGCTAAACTAAAATCAAAATGGATCAAAGAACTAAATGTGAAAACAGAAATACTTAACCTGGTGGAAGACAAAATAGGTAAAACTCTTGAAGTCGTAGGCATAGGTAAGGACTTTCTGAACAGAACCTCAGTTGCACAAGAAATAGAATCAAGAATCAACAGGAGAGAGGGCCGGGGACTTAGCTCAGTGGTTTTGCTGCCTGCTGCGCAAGCACAAGGACCCGAGTTCAATCCCCAGTACCAAAAAAAAAAAAAAAAGAATCAACAAGAGGGATCATATCAAAGTAAAAAGCTTCTGCACAGCAAAAGAAACAAACAACATAGTGAAAAGACAACCTACAGAATGGCAAAAAAATCTTGTCAGATATTCCTCAGATATAGGACTAATATATAGAATATATAAAGAAGTCAAAAAATTAGACCACCCAAAATAAAAGACTCAATCAAAAAATGGGCATCTGAAATGAATAGGCACTTTTTAGAAGAAGTACAAATGGCCAATAAATACCTGAAAAATGCTCAACATGGCTGACCATTAGAGAAATGCAAATTAAAACAACACTGAGATTCTACCCTACCCCAGAAAGAATGGTCATCATCAACAAATCAAACGATATCATATGCTGGTAAGACTGTAGGGGAAAAGAATTCCTTCTGTACTGTTGGTGGAAATGTACAACCACTTTGGAAATTAGTATGGAGATTGCTCAAAAAACTGAAACTAGAAATTCCATTTGACTCAGCTATTCCTGCTCTAGGTGGTCAAAGGCATCATATTATAATGATACATGAATCACCATAGTTATAGCAGTGCAATTCATAACAGCTAGATCTTGGAAGCAGCCTTCATGTCCATCAATAGATTAATGGATAAAGAAAATATGGTTTTCCACACAATGGAATACTCCTCTGCCATAAAGAAAGGCAAACTTGAGTCATTCGTAGGAAAACGGACTTACCTGGAGACCATAATGTTAAGTGAAATAAATCAGACATGCAAGCTCAAATATATGGTTTCTCTTATAGAAAAACCCAAAGTATAGATAAAGAGCAAAATAAAAGCTAGAGAATAGGAAGAGGGAGGTAGGTCTTTCTACAAGGGGAAAGTTTCCAAGAGATGGAGAGAGGGGAGAGAAAGGGAATGAAAAAGGAATGAAGATGAGTTATGTACACCTACCAACTCCACACAAGGACTGTAAACATAATGTACCACAAACGTGTGCTAATACAAAATGAATAAAAAGAAAGCCACTCACCCCTATGAGCTTCATTTGCCACATCAGCAAAACAGGACCTGTAACAGTATGTGCCTTGCTTACCCCTTAATAAGAATCAAATAAGCTGACTGATGTGTACACCTGTATTCCCAGATACTCAGGAGGATCACAAGTTTGAAGCCAGCCTGGTCAACTTAGTGACACCTTGTCTCAAAATAAAATAAAAGAAGTATTGGGGGCATAGCTCACTGTTCCTTGGGTTAAATCCCCAGCACTAAATAAAATAAAATGAATATACATAATTACAGTTC